ATTCATTCATACATACATCCATTCATACATACATACATACATTCATTCATTCATTCATTCATTCATTCATTCATTCATACATACATACATTCATACATGTACACAATGCATACACATTTTTCAGATATTCTGGTTTCTAGGGCTGATTAGCTTGCTTATAACTTTGTAGGGCCTCTTTAGTGTTTACCATTGCAGCACCGGTCACCTGTTATGACCGACTAGCGACAAGCACAAATTTACTCCATTCTGATGCATACTCAGAATTGATGGTTCGGCATCGAGCTTTTAGGTTGCGTTGAAAAAAGTGTTTCTTGAAAGACTCCTCCAGGATTGTGTCCAATCGCTCACTTGTCCTTTGTATGATTTGGTAAAGCTGATGAAAAGAACAAGAATGTTTATCCCGTTTCCGAGCTGAATTGTAGGCCCAGAACGAGGACAATAATTTGCTATTTTTACTTCTATTTTTGGCAACAATTGCAAATTGTCTGAAATGCCAAACTGGTGATGTGCATTTGTTGATCAGACATTCGCCATCAGACAACCGGTCAGCAGGTTTTTGTCCCGTCAACTAATCGAAATCAAGTCTCCAGTTAACGCTTTCTGGTCAACCTGTTTGTTCATGTTGTGTGTAAGTATGGTCGGAATCTGGCACTATGTCTTGGAGATAGGCTATTTTACGGGATTCTGATAAAATTGTGGGAAAACTTGACTACCAGTCCTTAACATCCTCTTAAAGTTCTTGCTTTCCGAATCGGTCAAACTTTCAATTACACATCAGCTCCTAGGTCTAATGGGCTTTTTCAACAAAGCTGCTCATTTTTCGCTTATCAGCAGGTTTTTCGAGACTACCAAAATATCATTTAATTATTAAATATATTTATTTTATTTCGTTTAATGTGATCAGGTGACTAGTGGTTAACTTTTCCGCAATCAACTGAATAGATCCTAATATTCTATTGTGCGAAAATGCATCCACCAGTCACCTGATCACCTTCAACGCAACAGAGCGAATACACTTCTTTTATTGTTGTCTGTTGATTCATTTCCCTTGTCGATCTCCAGCGCTGGTGAATGCTACTACTTAAATAATTAGTGAGTAGGAATATATATATATATATATATTTATGTTTATATACATAATAATAATGTTAATAATATAATAAAATTTCATCACTATATATGTACATATATAGTGGAAATCCATGAATATATTGAGTGTATATGTAATCTAACAAAGGCCTGGATACAACTGCTGGAGCTATCGAGAGTCAGTCTTTTGAGGTACTCACAGAGCACTGGTAAACCCTGAGTAGCCCTAGAAGCCTATCTTCATAAACATTTTACGGTCGTCAATGTGAAACCTACTGGGATGCTACTAATGAGCCTATTTTTTCGTTACTGTCGCTCTTTTGATGACCATTTCGCGGAGTGACAACCAAACACACGTCAGTCGATAAGTGCACTATTTCATAAAAGGCCATCCAAACGTCGAAATCTGTGTGAGATGAGCGCAAGCTTCTCGTCGATATCTGCTGCCAACCGGGACTCGGATTCATGCATAATGAGTTGTCAATTTTGATATAAGAAACCGATCTGTACCATACAAGTGTTGTTTCATTTCTCATCTCCAATTCAGCTGTCGTCATAATTCTGGTAGCAACCAGCCAATATTCCAAATTAACTCTTGCCTTTTTTGCAGCAGACTCGCCTTGACTACCAGTTAGCATAATACAGTCCTGCAAAAAATGGTGCAAATGTCCAGATTTGCATAGCATTCCGCCCTTTCGATACAACTTCAAGACATGAATAGTGGGAGCTAGCAGAAATGGGCAAAATTGATGGTCTTTAGATCATCTTCATGATGGAACGTCGCACGGTTCCAAATGGGAAATATTCTCAGTAGACAGGCTAGTTTCACGGCATACTTCTCCTCAATACAGCAACACGAAGACGATATCAACTTTGCGAACTGGGGCGGTTGTGTGATAGAATTAAGAAGAGGGAGAGAGTGGCTGGTTAATCTGAAAGCTGGCTTGAACTGTGACATCAGCTCAGTTGATTCGTGACTGTTGAATATGTCGACATTGCAGGAGAGAGCACTGACCGGATCTGTATCCTCCACA